GTCTCTACCCAGCGTGTGTTCTATAATCCACGTGTCCCTCTCTGTGTCTCATCACCACCATCATCACAACCATCACCATCACGACCATCACAACCACCACCATCACCACCATCACGACTATCATCACCATCACGACCATCACCACCATCACAACCACCACCATCACCACCACCATCACCATCACCACCAACACCACCATCAACCATCACCACCACCAACACCACCATCACCACTACCATCACTACCATCACAACCATCACCACCATCACAACCTTCACCACCACCATCATCACCACCACCAACATCACCACCGCCACCATCACCACCAGCATCACCACCACCATCACAACCATCACCACCACCATCACAACCATCACCACCACCATCACAACCACCACCAACACCATCACAACCATCACCACCATCATCACCACCACCATTATCACCACCACCATCACTACCACCATCACCACCACCATCATCACCACCATCACCACCATCATCACCACCATCACCACCACCACTACCACCACCATTATCACCACCATCACCACCACCATCACCACCACCATCACCACCACCACCATCATCACCAGGGTATATCCACAGCTGGATGAACGAGAACCGCACGCTCTGTAAGAAGAGAGACATCACTCGATTTTGCTCTTTTAATCACTCGGTCAAAAAAATCACAGCTGACGATCAATTCACCCAACCCACTCACCCCACCCACTCCTCCACCCACCCCACCCACTCCACCCAGCCAATCCACCCACTCCACCAACCCCACCCACCCACCCCACCCACTCCACCCACCCACCTCACCCAGCCAATCCACCCACTCCACCCACCCACCCCACCCACTCAACCCATCCACCCACTCCACCCACCCACCCCACTCCACCCACCCCACCCACAATAACAAGCAGAATTAACGAGCATTCATCGCTATCATCATGATCGCTATCATTGATATCATCGCTATCATGATCGTGTTCATCAAAATACTCGCTATCATTGATATCATCATCGCTATCATGATCATGTTCATCAAAATACTCGCTATCATTGATATCATCATCGCTATCATGATCGTGTTCATCAAAATACTCGCTATCATTGATATCATCATCGCTATCATGATCGTGTTCATCAAAATACTCGCTATCATTGATATCATCATCGCTATCATGATCGTGTTCATCAAAATACTCGCTATCATTGATATCATCATCGCTATCATGATCGTGTTCATCAAAATACTCGCTATCATTGATATCATCATCGCTACGATAATCAGTATCATGATCGATATCATTGTGATCGCAATCATTAATATCGCTATCATGATCGGTATCATTGATATCATTATCATCACTCTCATGATTGCTATCGTTTATATCATAATCATTAAATGTTGATTTAAAGCTTTCGTGACTGCAGGGATTCATATTCGGTAAACAATAAAATAATAAAAATATAAAACAATAAAATTATTGTAAAACAATTAAATTATTATTCTTGGTTCTTTCGGTAAAGTCACCACCACGTAGAAGGGAAACAATAAAATAATAAAAATATAAAATAATAAAATTATTGTAAAACATTTCGATTTAAAGCTTTCGTGACTGCAATGATTCATCTTCTTTGGTTCTTTCGGTAAAGTCACGTAGAATGAGAATAAAATAATAAATTGATAAAAAATATTATTGTGTTATTTTATTTTATCAATTTATTATTTTATTGTAAAACAATTAAATTATTATTCTTGGTTCTTTCGGTAAAGTCACCACGTTGAAGGGAAACAATAAAATAATAAAATATAAAACAATACAATTATTGTAAAACTATAAATTATTATTCTTGGTTCTTTTGGTAAAGTCACCACCACGTAGAAGGGAAACAATAAAATAATAAAATATAAAACAATACAATTCTTACGACGTTTCGACTGCCGAAAGAACCAAGAATATCATAATCATGATCAAAATCATTGATATCGTCATCGCTATCATCATCGTTGATATCTGATTGGCTAAAGAGACCCACAGACTCACCACTCACAGACTCACCACAGACTCACCACTCACAGACTCACTCACCACTCACAGATTCACTCACCACACAGACTCACTCACTCACCACAGACTCACCACAGATTCACCACTCACAGACTCACTCACCACACAGACTCACCGCTCACACTCACCACAGACTCACCACTCACAGACTCACAACAGACTCACCACTCACAGACTCACCACAGACTCACCACTCACAGACTCACCACAGACTCACCACTCACCACTCACAGACTCACTCACCACACAGACTCACCACTCACAGACTCACCACAGACTCACCACTCACAGACTCACTCACTACACAGACTCACCACAGACTCACCACTCACAGACTCACTCACCACACAGACTCACCACCCACACTCACCACACAGACTCACAGACTCACCACACAGACTCACTCACCACTCACAGACTCACCACAGACTCACCACTCACAGACTCACTCACCACACAGACTCACCACTCACAGACTCACCACAGACTCACCACTCACAGACTCACTCACCAGACTCACCACAGACTCACCACTCACAGACTCACTCACCACACAGACTCACCACTCACACTCACCACACAGACTCACAGACTCACCACACAGACTCACTCACCACTCACAGACTCACCACAAGACCACCACTCACAGACTCACTCACCACACAGACTCACCACTCACACTCACCACACAGACTCACAGACTCACCACACAGACTCACTCACCACTCACAGACTCACCACAGACTCACCACTCACAGACTCACCACAGACTCACCACTCACAGACTCACTCACTCACCGGGAGGATTTCCAATTTTTGAATCAAGAATCTCCATGAGGTTAAAGATTTGTTAAAACGGATTAACATCGTTCAACTCCCCCCCTCCTCCCTCCTTCCCCCTCCCTCCCTCCCCCCTCTCCACCCCCCTCCACCCCCCCCCCACCTCCCCCCACCTCTCCAACCACCCCCCACCCAACACTAAATTCTCCGTCTCGTTCATTGACTTCACAGAATCAACAACTTCAAGGCACCCAGAGGCACGCCCCCTCCCCCCCACGCCCCTCCCCCCCACGCCCCCCCCCCACGCCCCTCCCCCCCCACCACGGTCAACGTCGGGAGCCGACGTTGGGCCGACGTTGGAATCCACAAACAGTCACTTGGGGCGAGCCCGACGTTCGATTGTCATTATTTTCATCGTTTCCCGCCATCTTTCGACTTTAAATAAAAAATAAAATAAAGCCAACGTCTTCAAAGCCGCCTCGCCCGATTCAACACTGCCAACGAAGGCCCACCGCTGATCTTGTCTTGGCTTAGATTAAAATCAACGTGGGCGCCCGCTAAATGAACTGACCAACATGGACGCCCCGCTAAATGAACTGACCAGCATGGACGCCCCGCTAAATGAACTGACCAACATGGACGCCCCGCTAAATGAACTGACCAGCATGGACGCCCGCTAAGTGAACTGATCAACATGGATGCCCGCTAAATGAACTGACCAACGTGGACGCCCGCTAAATGAACTGACTAACATGGATGCCCGCTAAATGAACTGACCAGCGTGGACGCCCGCTAAATGAACTGACCAACGTGGACGCCCGCTAAATGAACTGACCAACGTGGATGCCCGCTAAATGAACTGACCAACATGGACGCCCCGCTAAATGAACTGACCAACGTGGACGCCCGCTAAATGAACTGACCAACGTGGACGCCCGCTAACTGAACTGACCAACGTGGACGCCCGCTAAATGAACTGACCAACGTGGACGCCCGCTAAATGAACTGACCAACGTGGACGCCCGCTAAATGAACTGACCAACGTGGATGCCCGCTAAATGAACTGACCAACATGGACGCCCCGCTAAATGAACTGACCAACGTGGACGCCCGCTAAATGAACTGACCAACGTGGATGCCCGCTAACTGAACTGACCAACGTGGACGCCCGCTAAATGAACTGACCAACGTGCACGCCCGCTAAATGAACTGACCAACGTGGATGCCCGCTAAATGAACTGACCAACATGGACGCCCCGCTAAATGAACTGAGCAACGTGGACGCCCGCTAAATTAACTGACCAACGTGGACGCCCGCTAACTGAAATGACCAACGTGGACGCCCGCTAAATGAACTGACCAGTGTGGACACCCGCTAAATGAACTAATCAACATGGATGTCTGCTAAGTGAACTGACCAACGTGGGTGCCCGCTAAATGAACTGACCAGCGTGGATGCCCGCTAAATGAACTGACCAACATGGATGCCCGCTAAATGAACTGACCAACATGGACGCCCGCTAACTGAACTGACCAACGTGGACGCCCGCTAAATGAACCGACCAACATGGACGCCCGCTAAATGAACTGACCAACGTGGATGCCCGCTAAATGAACTGACCGACGTGGATGCCCGCTAAATGAACTGACCAACATGGATGCCCACTAACTGAACTGACCAACGTGGATGCCCGCTAAATGAACTAATCAACATGGATGTCCGCTAAGTGAACTGATCAACATGGATGCCCGCTAAAGGAACTGACCGACATGGACGCCCGCTAAAATGGACTAACCAACATGGACGCCCGCGAAAATGAAAGGCACTGCACGCCTCACGGGGGATCTGAAGTCATCGGCAGCATCCCCTGAATGTGCCCGGGACTAGCCGGGCCCTCGCCCTTCCCACCAAGGTGTCTCAAGGCGTGTCGGAGGCATCGTGAGGGGGCGACGTGAAGAATACCCAACGCGTCCGGGATGTGTCTGGAGACGCTGAGATGTCTATCAACACATTGGGGGATCCGGGCGGGGGGGGGGAGGGTGTTTGTAGACATCATAAGATGTAAACGTCTTAAGAGGCATCTGCGGGTGTATGGAGACATTTGGACGCCTTTCAAGACGTCAGGAGGTGTTGTAAGACATCAGGAGGCCTGTTAAGACGTCAGGAGGTGTTGTAAGACATCAGGAGGTGTTTTAAGACATCAGGAGGCCTGTTAAGACATCAGCAGGTGTTCTAAGACATCAGGAGGCCTGTTAAGACGTCAGGAGGTGTTCTAAGACATCAGGAGGCCTGTTAAGACGTCAGGAGGTGTTGTAAGACATCAGGAGGCCTGTTAAGACGTCAGGAGGTGTTGTAAGACATCAGGAGGCCTGTTAAGACATCAGGAGGTGTTGTAAGACATCAGGAGGCCTGTTAAGACGTCAGGAGGTGTTGTAAGACATCAGGAGGCCTGTTAAGACGTCAGGAGGTGTTTTAAGACATCAGGAGGCCTGTTAAGACGTCAGGAGGTGTTGTAAGACATCAGGAGGCCTGTTAAGACGTCAGGAGCTGTTGTAAGACATCAGGAGGCCTGTTAAGACGTCAGGAGGTGTTCTAAGACATCAGGAGGCCTGTTAAGACGTCAGGAGGTGTTGTAAGACATCAGGAGGCCTGTTAAGACGTCAGGAGGTGTTGTAAGACATCAGGAGGCCTGTTAAGACGTCAGGAGGCCTGTTAGGAGACGTCAGGAGGTGTTGTAAGACATCAGGTGTTGTAAGACATCAGGAGGCCTGTTAAGACGTCAGGAGGTGTTGTAAGACATCAGGAGGCCTGTTAAGACGTCAGGAGGTGTTGTAAGACATCAGGAGGCCTGTTAAGACGTCAGGAGGTGTTGTAAGACATCAGGAGGCCTTTCAAGACGTCAGGAGGTGTTGTAAGACATCAGGAGGCCTGTTAAGACGTCAGGAGGTGTTGTAAGACATCAGGAGTCCTGTTAAGACGTCAGGAGGTATTGTAAGACATCAGGAGGCCTGTTAAGACGTCAGGAGGAGTTGTAAGACATCAGGAGGCCTGTTAAGACGTCAGGAGGTGTTGTAAGACATCAGGAGGCCTGTTAAGACGTCAGGAGGTGTTGTAAGACATCAGGAGGCCTGTTAAGACATCAGGAGGTGTTTTAAGACATCAGGAGGCCTGTTAAGACGTCAGGAGGTGTTTTAAGACATCAGGAGGCCTGTTAAGACGTCAGCAGGTGTTGTAAGACATCAGGAGGCCTGTTAAGACGTCAGGAGGTGTTGTAAGACATCAGGAGGCCTGTTAAGACGTCAGGAGGTGTTGTAAGACATTAGGAGGCCTGTTAAGACGTCAGGAGGTGTTGTAAGACATCAGGAGGCCTGTTAAGACATCAGGAGGTGTTGTAAGACATCAGGAGGCCTGTTAAGACGTCAGGAGGTGTTGTAAGACATCAGGAGGCCTGTTAAGACGTCAGGAGGTGTTTTAAGACATCAGGAGGCCTGTTAAGACGTCAGGAGGTGTTGTAAGACATCAGGAGGCCTGTTAAGACGTCAGGAGCTGTTGTAAGACATCAGGAGGCCTGTTAAGACGTCAGGAGGCCTGTTAGGAGACGTCAGGAGGTGTTGTAAGACATCAGGTGTTGTAAGACATCAGGAGGCCTGTTAAGACGTCAGGAGGTGTTGTAAGACATCAGGAGGCCTGTTAAGACGTCAGGAGGTGTTGTAAGACATCAGGAGGCCTGTTAAGACGTCAGGAGGTGTTGTAAGACATCAGGAGGCCTTTCAAGACGTCAGGAGGTGTTGTAAGACATCAGGAGGCATGTTAAGACGTCAGGAGGTGTTGTAAGACATCAGGAGTCCTGTTAAGACGTCAGGAGGTATTGTAAGACATCAGGAGGCCTGTTAAGACGTCAGGAGGAGTTGTAAGACATCAGGAGGCCTGTTAAGACGTCAGGAGGTGTTGTAAGACATCAGGAGGCCTGTTAAGACGTCAGGAGGTGTTGTAAGACATCAGGAGGCCTGTTAAGACATCAGGAGGTGTTTTAAGACATCAGGAGGCCTGTTAAGACGTCAGGAGGTGTTTTAAGACATCAGGAGGCCTGTTAAGACGTCAGGAGGTGTTGTAAGACATCAGGAGGCCTGTTAAGACGTCAGGAGGTGTTGTAAGACATCAGGAGGCCTGTTAAGACGTCAGGAGGTGTTGTAAGACATCAGGAGGCCTTTCAAGACGTCAGGAGGTGTTGTAAGACATCAGGAGGCCTGTTAAGACGTCAGGAGGTGTTGTAAGACATCAGGAGTCCTGTTAAGACGTCAGGAGGTGTTGTAAGACATCAGGAGGCCTGTTAAGACGTCAGGAGGAGTTGTAAGACATCAGGAGGCCTGTTAAGACGTCAGGAGGTGTTGTAAGACATCAGGAGGCCTGTTAAGACGTCAGGAGGTGTTGTAAGACATCAGGAGGCCTGTTAAGACATCAGGAGGTGTTTTAAGACATCAGGAGGCCTGTTAAGACGTCAGGAGGTGTTTTAAGACATCAGGAGGCCTGTTAAGACGTCAGGAGGTGTTGTAAGACATCAGCGCGTGTGTGGAGACGTCAGCGCGTGTGTGGAGGAGATGTCTGGAAACTTCTTGAAGAACCGCCCGCGGAGGTGCCTCGATGCTCCTGGAATCCACCAGCGTCAGCACTGTGGCCATCACCACCACCACCACCAGCGTCACCACCGTGGCCAACACCATCACCATCGTCACCACCGCCACCACCATCACCACCGTCACCACCGTGGCCACCACCACCATCACCACCACCACCACCATCACCACCATCACCATCACTACCACCATCACCACCACCACCACTATCACCACCACCACCATCACCACCATCACCGTCACCACCACCATCACCACTACCATCACCACCATCACCACCACCACCACCATCATCACCATCACCACCACTACCATCACCACCACCACCACCACGGATGCTGCCGAACGTCCACGGCGGACCCCCCCCCCTCTAAACATTTCTAGAAGTCCCCCTGAGTTTTACCCTGAAGGCCGCTCAAAATTCCTGAAGATTTCGCGTAGGGCCTCCATGAGGTCCCCAGAGGTTCCTAAAGGGTTCCTCGAGATTCCCGCAGATCGACGAAGCCGCCCCAAGAGATTCCTCGAGGGCCCCTTGAGGCGCCTCGATATTCCTGCAGATTCGTGAATATCGCCCGGCAGATTCCCAGGGGCTTCCGCGTGCCTACGAAGTTTGCCTGAAGACACGCGAAGACCTTCCCGTGAAGGTGCATGGATGTCCCCAAAATGCCTTTCGAGAATTCCTGAGGATGCACAAATATCCCCGGTGGCCCCGAGAGGTCCCTGAAGGCCGCTGAAGATTCCTTGAGATTCGTGAACACCGCCAACAGATTCCCAGAGGTCCCTGCAAGTCCTCTCGGGATTCCGGAAGTCCTAGATTATTCGCGAAGTCCTTTACGGTGGTGCCTAGAGGTCTCTGAAGGCCGCTGAAGGTTCCTTGAGATTCGTGAACACCGCCAACAGATTCCCAGAGGTCCCTGCAAGTCCTCTCGCGATTCCGGAAGATTCGGCGAAGTCCTAGATTATTTCAGAAGTCCTTTAAGGTGGTCCTGAGATGTCCCTCCAGGCCGCTCGAGATTCCTGAAGGTTCGTTAATACCCACGGTAGATTCCCAGAGGTCCCTGCAAGTCTTCTCGACCTTCCGGAAGATTCGGTGAAGTCCTAGATTATTCGCTAAGTCCTTTACGGTGGTCCCGAGAGGTCCCTCCAGGCCGCTGAAGATTCCTTGAGATTCGTGAACACTGCCAACAGATTCCCAGAGGTCCCTGCAAATCCTCCCGACATTCCAGAAGATTCGGGAAGTACTTAATGGTGGTCCCGAGAGGTCCCTGAATGCCGCTCAAGATTCCTTGAGATTCGTGAACACCGCCAACAGATTCCCAGAGGTCCCTGCAAGTCCTCTCGACCTTCCCGAAGATTCGGCGAAGTCCTAGATTATTCAGGAAGTCCTTTACGGTGGTGCCTAGAGGTCCCTGAAGGCCGCTCGAGATTCCTTGAGATTCGTGAACACCGCCAACAGATTCCTGGAGGTTCCTAAGGGCCCCTAATAAAGACTCCTGAAGGCTCGCGGAGACCTTTCCGGTAGGTCCCTGCAAGTCCTCTCGGGATTCCGGAAGATTCGGGAAGTACTTAATGGTGGCCCCGAGAGGTCCCTGAATGTCGCTCGAGATTCCTGAAGATTCGTGAACACCGCCAACAGATTCCCAGAGGTCCCTGCAAGTCCTCTCGCGATTCCTGAAGATTAGCGAAGACCTTTCCGGTAGGTCCCTGCAAGTCCTTTCAAGATTCCGGAAGTCCTAGATTATTCGCGAAGTCCTTTACGGTGGACCCTAGAGGTCCCTGAAGGCCGCTCGAGATTCCTTGAGATTCGTGAACACCGCCAACAGATTCCCAGAGGTCCCTGCAAGTCCTCTCGACATTCCGGAAGTTTCGGTGAAGTCCTAGATTATTCGCGAAGTCCTTTACGGTGGTCCCGAGAGGTCCCTAAAGGCCGCTGAAGATTCCTTGAGATTCGTGAACACCGCCAACAGATTCCCAGAGGTCCCTAAGGGCCCCTAATAAAGACTCCTGAAGGCTCGCGGAGACCTTTCCGGTAGGTCCCTGCAAGTCCTCTTGGGATTCCGGAAGATTCCTAGATTATTCGCCAAGTCCTTTACAGTGGTCTCTAGAGGTCCCTGAAGACTGCTGAAGATTCCTTGAGATTCGTGAACACCGCCAACAGATTCCCAAAGGTCCCTGCAAGTCCTCTCGCGATTCCGGAAGATTCGGTGAAGTCCTAGATTATTCGCGAAGTCCTTTACGGTGGTCCTGAGATGTCCCTGAAGGCCGCTCGAGATTCCTGAAGGTTCGTTAATACCCCCGGCAGATTCCCAGAGGTCCCTGCAAATCCTTTCGGGATTCCGGAAGATTCGGTGAAGTCCTAGATTATTCGCAAAGTCCTTTACGGTGGTCCCTAGAGGTCCCTGAAGGCCGCTGAAGATTCCTTGAGATTCGTGAACACCGCCAACAGATTCCTGGAGGTCCCTAAGGGCCCCTAATAAAGACTCCTGAAGGCTCGCGGAGACCTTTCCGGTAGGTCCCTGCAAGTCCTCTCGACATTCCGGAAGATTCCGGAAGTCCTTTACGGTGGTGCCTAGAGGTCCCTGAAGGCCGCTGCAGATTCCTGAAGATTCGTTAATACCCACGGCAGATTCCCAGAGGTCCCTGCAAATCCTCTCGACCTTCCGGAAGATTCGGCGAAGTCCTAGATTATTCGCCAAGTCCTTTACGGTGGTCCCTAGAGGTCCCTGAAGGCCGCTCGAGATTCCTGAAGGTTCGTTAATACCCCCGGCAGATTTCCAGAGGTCCCTGTAAGTCCTCTCGCGATTCCTGAAGATTAGCGAAGACCTTTCCGGTAGGTCCCTGCAAGTCCTCTCGGGATTCTGGAAGTCGTAGATTATTCGCGAAGTCCTTTAAGGTGGTGCCTAGAGGTCCCTGAAGGCCGCTGAAGATTCCATGAGATTCGTGAACACCGCCAACAGATTCCCAGAGGTCCCTGCAAGTCCTTTCGCGATTCCGGAAGATTCGGTGAAGTCCTAGATTATTCGCGAAGTCCTTTACGGTGGTCCTGAGATGTCCCTCCAGGCCGCTCGAGATTCCTGAAGGTTCCTTAATACCCACGGCAGATTCCCAGAGGTCCCTGCAAGTCGTCTCGGGATTCCGGAAGTCCTAGATTATTCATCAAGTCCTTTACGGTGGTCCCGAGAGGTCCCTGAAGGCCGCTGAAGATTCCTTGAGATTCGTGAACACCGCCAACAGATTCCTGGAGGTCCCTAAGGGCCCCTAATAAAGACTCCTGAAGGCTCGTGGAGACCTTTCCGGTAGGTCCCTGCAAGTCCTCTCGACCTTCCGGAAGATTCGGTGAAGTCCTAGATTATACGCCAAGTCCTTTACGGTGGTCCCGAGGACTGCTGAAGATTCCTTGAGATTCGTGAACACCGCCAACAGATTCCCAGAGGTCCCTGCAAGTCCTCTCGGGATTCTGGAAGTCCTAGATTATTCAGGAAGTCCTTTATGGTGGTCCCTAGAGGTCCCTCCAGGCCGCTGAAGATTCCTTGAGATTCGTGAACACCGCCAACAGATTCCTGGAGGTCCCTAAGGGCCCCTAATAAAGACTCCTGAAGGCTCGCGGAGACCTTCCCGGTAGGTCCCTGCAAGTCATCTCGGGATTCCGGAAGATTCGGCGAAGTCCTAGATTATTGAGGAAGTCCTTTACGGTGGTCCCGAGAGGTCCCTGAAGGCCGCGAGAGATTCCCCTGTACCCCCCCCCCCCCTCTCCCCTCTCCCCTCTCCCCCCTCCCCCCGAGGCCTTCACAGCTTGGTGATCTTCTCGGGAGGTGGAGCGGTGCTGCCGCTCACCTCCCGGTATTTCTTGCTGCTGCTGCTGTTGTTGTTGTTGTTGAACCGCCACTTCATCATCTTCTTCTTCTTCTTCGTCGGTGTCGTCGTCACCGCCTCCTTCTCCCCCTTGTCCCCCTTCTCGTCGTCCTCCTCCTCGTCGTCGTCGTCGTCGTCGGTCTGTGGGCGAAGGACACCACCACCAGCGTCACCACCACCACCAGCGTCACCACCACCACCAGCGTCACCACCACCACCAGCGTCACCACCACCACCACCACCAGCGTCAGCGCCACCACCACCACCAGCGTCACCATCGTCACCACCACCAGCGTCAGCGCCACCACCACCACCAGCGTCACCACCACCAGCGTCACCACCACCATCGTCACCACCACCAGCGTCAGCGCCACCACCACCACCAGCGTCACCACCACCAGCGTCACCACCACCATCGTCACCACCACCAGCGTCACCGCCACCACCACCGTCACCACCGTCACCACCACCAGCGTCACCACCACCAGCGTCACCACCACCAGCGTCACCACCACCATCGTCACCACCACCAGCGTCACCGCCACCACCACCGTCACCACCGTCACCACCACCAGCGTCACCACCACCACCACCGTCACCACCGTCACCACCGTCACCACCACCAGCGTCAGCGCCACCACCACCGTCACCACCGTCACCGTCACCATCGTCACCACCACCAGCGTCACCGCCACCACCACCGTCACCACCGTCACCACCACCATCGTCACCACCACCAGCGTCACCACCACCAGCGTCACCACCACCATCGTCACCACCACCAGCGTCACCGCCACCACCACCGTCACCACCGTCACCACCACCAGCGTCACCACCACCACCACCGTCACCACCGTCACCACCGTCACCACCACCAGCGTCAGCGCCACCACCACCGTCACCACCGTCACCACCACCACCGTCACCACCACCACCACCACCATCGTCACCACCGCCACCGTTACCACCGTGGCCACCGCCAGCACCACCACCGTCACCACCGTCACCACGACCACCACCACCACCGTCACCACCACCAGCGCCACCACCACCACTGTCACCACTACTACCGCCATCACCACTATCACTACCACCACTATCGCCGCTAACACCACCATCACCACCCCCACCTCTACCGCTGCCACCACAGCTACCATCACTCAGTGTGACAACAGCGTTAATCTTAACAACCGGTCCTGGCCCTGCTGGGCCCCTCGCCCCACTCGGCTCCTCCCCCTGGCCCTGCTGGGCCACTCACCCAAATCGGCACCTCCCCCTGGCCCTGCTGGGGCTCCTAGCCCCACTCGGCTCCTCCCCCCTGGCCCTGCTGGGCCCCTCGCCCCACTCGGCACCTCCCCATGGCCCTGCTGGGCTCCTAGCCCCACTCGGCTCCTCCCCCCTGGCCCTGCTGGGGCTCCTAGCCCCACTCGGCTCCTCCCCCCTGGCCCTGCTGGGCCCCTCGCCCCACTCGGCACCTCCCCATGGCCCTGCTGGGCTCCTAGCCCCAATCGGCACCTCCCCATGGCCCTGCTGGGCTCCTAGCCCCACTCGGCTCCTCCCCCCTGGCCCTGCTGGGCCCCTCGCCCCACTCGGCACCTCCCCATGGCCCTGCTGGGCTCCTAGCCCCACTCGGCTCCTCCCTCCTGGCCCTGCTGGGCCCCTCGCCCCACTCGGCACCTCCCCATGGCCCTGCTGGGGCTCCTAGCCCCACTCGGCTCCTCCCCCCTGGCCCTGCTGGGCCCCTCGCCCAACTCGGCACCTCCCCATGGCCCTGCTGGGGCTCCTAGCCCCACTCGGCTCCTCCCCCCTGGCCCTGCTGGGGCTCCTAGCCCCACTCGGCTCCTCCCCCCTGGCCCTGCTGGGCCCCTCGCCCCACTCGGCACCTCCCCATGGCCCTGCTGGGGCCCCTAACCCCACTCGGCTCCTCCCCCCTGGCCCTGCTGGGCACCCGCGCGCGCGACTAATCCACGGCGCTTGCCCCCTCCCCCGCAGGCCCCGTCCCGTGGCGGCGGTGGCGACGAACCTCGCGGTGGCGCCGCGTCACGGCCAGCGCCACGGCCCCCGTCAGCACCAGGGCGAGGCCCAGGCCCAGGAGGCCGTAGCGGACCACGTCCATGATGAGGGGCAGCAGAACGACGTTGGTCCAGAAGGCGTCCCTCAGCTCGCCGTCCATGTGGCCGCTCTGGACACCACGGGGGAAGGGTGGGGAGGGGGGGGTGTGAAACGACGGACACACAAACACACACGGGGTTCACGATGGACGTGTCAGTGGGTGGGGTTCACGATGGACGTGTCACTGAGTGGGGTTCACGATGTCCGTGTCTCTGGGTGGGGTTCACGATGGACGTGTCACTGAGTGGGGTTCACGATGGACGTGTCAGTGGGTGGGGTTCACGATGGACGTGTGACTGAGTGGGGTTCACGATGGACGTGTGACTGAGTGGGGTTCACGATGGACGTGTCACTGAGTGGGGTTCACGATGGACGTGTCACTGAGTGGGGTTCACGATGGCCGTGTCTCTGAGTGGGGTTCACGATGGACGTGTCACTGAGTGGGGTTCACGATGGACGTGTCACTGAGTGGGGTTCACGATGGCCGTGTCACTGAGTGGGGTTCACGATGGACGTGTCACTGAGTGGGGTTCACGATGGACGTGTCACTGAGTGGGGTTCACGATGGACGTGTCACTGAGTGGGGTTCACGATGGACGTGTCACTGAGTGGGGTTCACGATGGACGTGTCTCTGGGTGGGGTTCACGATGGCCGTGTCACTGAGTGGGGTTCACGATGGACGTGTCACTGAGTGGGGTTCACGATGGACGTGTCTCTGGGTGGGGTTCACGATGGACGTGTCACTGAGTGGGGTTCACGATGGACGTGTCACTGAGTGGGGTTCACGATGGACGTGTCACTGAGTGGAGTTCACGATGGACGTGTCCTCTGAGTGGGGTTCACGATGGACGTGTCACTGAGTGGGGTTCACGATGGACGTGTCACTGAGTGGGGTTCACGATGGACGTGTGACTGAGTGGGGTTCACGATGGCCGTGTCACTGAGTGGGGTTCACGATGGACGTGTCACTGAGTGGGGTTCACGATGGACGTGTCACTGAGTGGGGTTCACGATGGACGTGTCACTGAGTGGGGTTCACGGTGGACGTGTCACTGAGTGGGGTTCACGATGGACGTGTCTCTGAGTGGGGTTCACGATGGCCGTGTCACTGAGTGGGGTTCACGATGGACGTGTCTCTGAGTGGGGTTCACGATGGACGTGTCTCTGGGTAGGGTTCACGATGGACGTGTCTCTGAGTGGGGTTCACGATGGACGTGTCACTGAGTGGGGTTCACGATGGACGTGTCTCTGAGTGGGGTTCACGATGGCCGTGTCACTGAGAGGGGTTCACGATGGACGTGTCACTGAGTGGGGTTCACGGTGGACGTGTCACTGAGTGGGGTTCACGGTGGACGTGTCACTGAGTGGGGTTCACGATGGACGTGTCTCTGAGTGGGGTTCACGGTGGACGTGTCACTGAGTGGGGTTCACGGTGGACGTGTCACTGAGCGGGATTCACGACGGCCGTGTCTCTGGGTGGATGCGAGGTTGACAATGGCCGAAGGTCACTCACCTCTTCGAACCAAAGTATCGGCAGGATCACCGGCTTGATCGTCCCCGAGGTTCTGCAGGCAAAATGGGCAGCACCGCACGAGAGTCGTCGTTTTACGGACCGCGAGATTACGGAAATTCGCGATGGCAATGCTGTCGTTACCCCCCGTGAATTCGGCAAAAAAGTGGCGTGCAAGCGTGCGGTGCGTGCCTCTGTGTGCGTGTGTGTGTATGGCCTTGGCACAAGCGTCACGGTGACTGTCACCGCCACTTAGTGGCGAATGGCGGTTGTTGTTGTTGTTGTTGCTGTTGTTGTATACGTGTGTCTTTGTGCGTGTGTGGATGGGCGCGAGGGGCTGGTAACCCCCTCCACCTTCAATTCGTTAACACTAAACCATGACGGAAAAATGTAAAATTTTTGATTCGAAGCTTTCGTGACTGCAGCGATTCATATTCTTGGTTCTTTCGGTAAAGTCACCACCACGTTGAAGGGAAACAATAAAATAATAAAGCATATATATTTTATTATTTTATTGTTTCCCTTCAACGTGACTTTACCGAAAGACCTAAGAATAGGAAAAATTTAACTAATAAGCTTGTGCCAGAGGCCCCGGCGGGGGGCCAGGCGTCTACAACGTCTCCTGGCCAAACCCCCCAATTTGGCAGAGCCAGGAGATTGAATCTCTACCCTCGGGGCTCCTCCAGACACAACGACAAGCCACTACCGGATGGCCACGTGGAATGTTCGAACGCTCACTGCGGAGGAGAGGCTGCCCACTCCTCTGTCGGGAGCTGGACCGGTACCGCCTGGATCTCTGTGGCATTCACGAGGTCCGGTGGACCGGCTCTGGCTCCTGCCACCATGAGGAGTGGACAGTCCTCTTCTCGGGGCAGCAGACTGCCAAACAACAGGGAGTGACTCTTTTTCTGAACAAAAGAATGAAAGGGGGCGTGGGAGCGTGGCGGTAAGGTGTGGGAAGCTGTAAGCCCCAGGCTACTTTGGGCTCGCCTTCCCATCAACCGGAGGCGAGGAGTGGTGGTCGTGGTTACTTATGCCCCCACCGAAGACGAACATCCGTGGAGGGATGCAGGCAAGGCCGATGAGTCAGATGCCTTCTATGACCTCCTGTCACAGGTGCTAGCTAAAGTGGCCCCTCGGGATAGAGTCATCTTGTTGGGTCACTTCAACCCCACAGTTGGTCATGATGCTGGCACCTGGTCTGGAGTGATTGGAAGGCATGGGCCAGATCAAGTCAATTACAACGGCACGAGGCTGCTAGATTTTTGTGCAGCCCATGGGCTTATAATTACCAACACGCTGTTCCGGCATCGGCGCATCCACACAACATCAGCTGAATTACACAGATGCCATATTTTTTGTCCGTCTGCTACAGCAGACGTATAGGGAATTCCAACAAGACCTACATCTCTCCTTTATTGACCTTGTCAAGGCCTATGACACCATCAGTAGGCCTGGGCTCTGGGTCGTTCTTCGTGCTTTTGGAGTCCCTGACCCTCTGCTCACAATCATTAAGGACCTTGATGATGGTGAGCAGGCCCGGGTAAAACTACGTGGCCGGAGTCAGAGCCATTCCCTGTACACCTTGGGATGCGACAGGGATGTCCTCTGGCTCCCACATTATTTAACATCTATTTCGACCACGTAGTTCATGAAGCCTTCAACAGCTGTACCAGAGAAATTTCCATCTGGTACAGATACAATGGGAGGCTGATCGATGCCTGGGTGCGGTCAAGGGATGGTCTCACTCCAAATCAGTCGAGCGGCAATACCTTTTCATCGGTTGCGTAACGCTGTGTGTAAGCTACCTGGTCTGTCGCTCCGTACGAAGCTTCAGGTCTTCTCGGCCACAGTCAATCCCTCCCTTCTATACGCTTGCGAAACATGGACCCCCCTAATATAACATCTTCGCCGGTTAGAAACATTTAGGCTGGCCTGCCTACGATCCATCCTGGGTTTAACCAGGCTGGATTGTGTGAGGAGCTCACAAATCCTTAAGAGATTTGGACAAAGTCCCATCAGTGAGCTCCTCCGGCAGGCAAGGCTGTGTTGTCTGGGTCATGTAGCCCGCACGCCCAGCCACCGCATTCCTAAACAGCTTTTGTTCGGCCGGATAGAGGGGGCTAAACGGGCACGGCAGAGGAGAGATGGAGTGATGTGGTACAGCAGGACGTGGAGCTGAGTGGACTTGCCGATGACCGGTACCAGCGATGTCAAGATCGGCCTCTGTGGAGGAGGCTCGTGAAGGACGCTGCTACTGGGCAGTTGGAGGTAGTCGCCCTCCAACAACAACAGAGGGACGGAGGAGCGACGCTCACAACAATGAGCAGAGCTCCGGGTGGCTAAAGCGCAGCAAGTTGGTACAGTAGGAGGCACAGGTGGTGCATCAGCCAGTCATCTCAGACAGTCGACCCGTGGCACCTGGGTCTGCCCCGTGACCTCCTGCCCGCGGGCGTTCGACACTTCACGTGGCCTCAAGGTGCACATGGCCTGGCACAAGCGTCGTGGTGACGTCACCGCCACTTAGTGGCGAATGACGGTTGTTGTTGTTGTGTGTGTATGTCTGTGTGTGTGTGTCTGTGTATGTGTCTGTGTGTCTGTGTGTGTGTCTGTGTGTGTGTTCACAACTCACGATATTCCTTCGACCCCTTTGACCATCATGTTCAGCTGCAGGCGAATGGAGACGTTCACTGGAACACCTGTGAGCTACACACACACGGACACACACACACAGATAAAGATCCCCCGTGTAGCCTTAACAGACGGTAGGGGCAAGTGCTGTTAGCGAGCAGCACCTATGAAGGCCGGCACAGCACAGGAGGGGGTGGGTGGCCAGCACCACGCCCGGCCGCCTTTGTCTCCCTAGTGGCAATGTTTACTACACACCGCACCAGGTACTCATTTGAGGCAGAGTCGACCTAGGGGAGGCCCGGTACCGGTTCAGATAATCGTCACTGTGGCGGTGTTGGCCGTGAGTGGGCAATCGAACCCGGGTCGCCGGGTTCATAGCGCAGCGTAGCGCTAACCGCTACACCCACCGCTCCCCACACACACCACACACACAGGTAGACACACACACACTAACTCACACTGGGGGGACATCTTCAGGAAACTGTGGGGTGCCCTTCTACAACAGCGGCTTCGTATATGGGGCGGCGGTGGCTTACCTGGCGAACAAACGTCCCTACGGCACTCACCGCCACCACCACCGCCACCACCGCCACCACCGCCACCAACATCCCAGTGGTTTAGCGGCCTGGTACCTCTGCATCACCCCCTTCTCTCTGTGTGTGTGTGTGTGTTGGTCTTTTCACGTGATGTAGCCTCGTCTCTCTCTGGTTCTTGACCAGGTGACTCCGTCCCTACGGCACTCACCACCACCACGCCCCAGGTGTGCGTGGTTAAGCGGCCTGGAACCTCTGCATCACCCCCTTCTCTCTCTCTGTGTGTGTGTGTTGGTATTTTCACGTGATGTAGTCTCGTCTCTCTGTGTGTGTGTGTCTTGGTAATTTCACGTGGTGTAGCCTCGACCGCCCGGACGCGGCGACGGGACCGTGGCGACGAGGCCGAGCCACCGGACGCCAACGAAGAGGCCCACCCACCGGACGCCGACGATGCCGACGAGGCCCACCCACACTCTTTGGTTCTATTCGGTAAAGTCACCACGTAGCAGTAGGTAGAAAAAGAAGTAAAACAAGAAAAATCCACGACGTTTCGGCCACAACACAAGCGGCCCTCATCAGGTGAAGGGACCGGCCTGTCTCGAGGCCCACCCACAGGGGGGGGGGGGGGGGGGGGTGGTGTAGCGGGAAGACGCTCCCGGCGAGATCCGCCACTTCCTCCAATCCACCTGCAGGAAGCGTGGGGTCAAGCGTCGAGGCTTCCCTCCCCTTAGTCTGGCTCTGTGAGTCTCAGTGATTAACACTGAACCCTGTGGGAGTCTCAGTCTGGCTCTGTGAGCCTCAGTGATTAACACTGAACCCTGTGGGAGCCTTAGTCTGGCTCTGTGAGTCTCAGTGATTAACACTGAACCCTGTGTGAGGGTGCCTTAGTCTGGCTCTGTGAGCCTGAGTGATTAACACTGAACCCTGTGGGAGTCTCAGTGATTAACACTGAACCCTGTGGGAGCGTTGGTCTGGCTCTGTGAGCCTCAGTGATTAACACTGAGCCATGTGGGAGCCTTAATCTGGCTCTGTGAGTCTCAGTGATTAACACTGAACCCTGCGGGAGTCTCAGTGATTAACACTGAACCCTGCGGGAGTCTCAGTGATTAACACTGAACCCTGTGGGCGTCTCAGAGATTAACACTGAACCCTGTGGGATTCTTCAGTGATTAACACTGAACCCTGTGGGAGTCTCAGTGATTAACACTGAATCCTGTGGGAGTGTCAGTGATTAACACTGAACCCTGTGGGAGTCTCAGTGATTAACACTGAACCCTGCGGGAGTCTCAGTGATTAACACTGAACCCTGTGGGAGTCTCAGAGATTAACACTGAACCCTGTGGGATTCTTCAGTGATTAACACTGAACCCTGTGGGAGTCTCAGTGATTAACACTGAATCCTGTGGGAGTGTCAGTGATTAACACTGAACCCTGTGGGAGTCTCACTGATTAACACTGAACCCTGTGGGAGTCTCAGTGATTAACACTGAACCCTGTGGGATTCTTCAGTGATTAACACTGAACCCTGTGGGAGTCTCAGTGATTAACACTGCACCCTGTGGGAGTCTCAGTGATTAACACTGAACCCTATGGGAGTATCAGTGATTAACACTGAACCCTGTGGGAGTCTCAGTGATTAACACTGAACCCTGTGGGAGTCTCAGTGATTAACACTGAACCCTGTGGGAGTCTCAGTGATTAACACTGAACCCTCTGGGAGTCTCGGTGATTAACACTGAACCCTGTGGGAGTCTCAGTGATTAACACTGAACCCTGTGGGAGCCTCAGTGATTAACACTGAACCCTGTGGGAGTCCCGGTGATTAACACTGAACCCTGTGGGAGTCTCAGTGATTAACACTGAACCCTGTGGGAGTCTCAGTGATTAACACTGAACCCTGTGGGAGTCTCAGTGATTAACACTGAACCCTGTGGGAGTCTCAGTGATTAACACTGAACCCTGCGGGAGCCTCAGTGATTAACACTGAACCCTGTGGGAGCCTCAGTGATTAACACTGAACCCTGTGTGAGTCTCAGTGATTAACACTGAACCCTGTGGGAGCCTCAGTGATTAACACTGAACCCTGTGTGAGTCTCAGTGATTAACACTGAGCCCTGTGGGAGCCTCAGCCTGGCTCTGTGAGTCTCAGTGATTAACACTGAACCCTATGGGAGCCTTAGTCTGGCTCTGTGAGCCTCAGTGATTAACACTGAACCCTGTGGGAGCCTCAGTGATTAACACTGAACCCTGTGGGAGCCTCAGTGATTAACACTGAACCCTGTGGGAGTCTCAGTGATTAACACTGAACCCTGCGGGAGCCTCACTCATTTACACTGAACCCTGTGGGAGTCTCACTGATTAACACTGAACCCTATGGGAGTCTCATTGATTAACACTGAAACCTGTGGGAGCCTCAGTCTGGCTCTGTGAGTCTCAGTGATTAAGAATGAACCCTGTGGGAGTCTCAGTGATTAACACTGAACCCTGTGGGAGCCTCAGTCTGGCTCTGTGAGCCTCAGTGATTAACACTGAGCCCTGTGGGAGCCTTTGTCTGGCTCTGTGAGCCTCAGTAATTAACACTGAACCCTGTGTGAGTCTTAGTCTGGCTCTGTGAGCCTCAGTGATTAACACTGAACCCTGTGGGAGCCTCAGTCTGGCTCTGTGAGCCTCAGTGATTAACACTGAACCCTGTGGGAGCCTTAGTCTGGCTCTGTGAGTCTCAGTGATTAACACTGAACCCTGTGTGAGGGTGCCTTAGTCTGGCTCTGTGAGCCTGAGTGATTAACACTGAACCCTGTGGGAGTCTCAGTGATTAACACTGAACCCTGTGGGAGCGTTGGTCTGGCTCTGTGAGCCTCAGTGATTAACACTGAGCCATGTGGGAGCCTTAATCTGGCTCTGTGAGTCTCAGTGATTAACACTGAACCCTGCGGGAGTCTCAGTGATTAACACTGAACCCTGCGGGAGTCTCAGTGATTAACACTGAACCCTGTGGGCGTCTCAGAGATTAACACTGAACCCTGTGGGATTCTTCAGTGATTAACACTGAACCCTGTGGGAGTCTCAGTGATTAACACTGAATCCTGTGGGAGTGTCAGTGATTAACACTGAACCCTGTGGGAGTCTCAGTGATTAACACTGAACCCTGCGGGAGTCTCAGTGATTAACACTGAACCCTGTGGGAGTCTCAGAGATTAACACTGAACCCTGTGGGATTCTTCAGTGATTAACACTGAACCCTGTGGGAGTCTCAGTGATTAACACTGAATCCTGTGGGAGTGTCAGTGATTAACACTGAACCCTGTGGGAGTCTCAGTGATTAACACTGAACCCTGTGGGAGTCTCAGTGATTAACACTGAACCCTGTGGGATTCTTCAGTGATTAACACTGAACCCTGTGGGAGTCTCAATGATTAACATTGAACCCTGTGGGAGTCTCAATGATTAACACTGAACCCTATGGGAGTATCATTGATTAACACTGAACCCTACGGGAGTCTCAGTGATTAACACTGAACCCTGTGGGAGTCTCAGTGATTAACACTGAACCCTGTGGGAGTCTCATTGATTAACACTGAACCCTCTGGGAGTCTCGGTGATTAACACTGAACCCTGTGGGAGTCTCAGTGATTAACACTGAACCCTGTGGGAGCCTCAGTGATTAACACTGAACCCTGTGGGAGTCCCACTGATTAACACTGAACCCTGTGGGAGTCTCAGTGATTAACACTGAACCCTGTGGGAGTCTCAGTGATTAACACTGAACCCTGTGGGAGTCTCAGTGATTAACACTGAACCCTGTGGGAGTCTCAGTGATTAACACTGAACCCTGTGGGAGTCTCAGTGATTAACACTGAACCCTGTGGGAGCCTCAGTGATTAACACTGAACCCTGTGTGAGTCTCAGTGATTAACACTGAACCCTGTGGGAGCCTCAGTGATTAACACTGAACCCTGTGTGAGTCTCAGTGATTAACACTGAGCCCTGTGGGAGCCTCAGCCTGGCTCTGTGAGTCTCAGTGATTAACACTGAACCCTATGGGAGCCTTAGTCTGGCTCTGTGAGCCTCAGTGATTAACACTGAACCCTGTGGGAGCCTCAGTGATTAACACTGAACCCTGTGGGAGCCTCAGTGATTAACACTGAACCCTGTGGGAGTCTCAGTGATTAACACTGAACCCTGCGGGAGCCTCACTCATTTACACTGAACCCTGTGGGAGTCTCAGTGATTAACACTGAACCCTGTGGGAGTCTCAGTGATTAAAACTGAACCCTGTGGGAGCCTTAGTCTGGCTCTGTGAGCCTCAGTGATTAAGACTGAACCCTGTGGGAGTCTCAGTGATTAACACTGAACCCTGTGGGAGCCTCAGTCTGGCTCTGTGAGCCTCAGTGATTAACACTGAGCCCTGTGGGAGCCTTAGTCTGGCTCTGTGAGCCTCAGTAATTAACACTGAACCCTGTGTGAGTCTTAGTCTGGCTCTGTGAGCCTCAGTGATTAACACTGAACCCTGTGGGAGCCTCAGTCTGGCTCTGTGAGCCTCAG